GTGGGCAAGTTGAGAGGAAAACAGGATGGCAACCCCAGTAGCAGGCGGCCGAGTCTCATGATCCTTACCAAAATCTCCTTTATTGATGTCAGCATATATTGGATCCTGTTTGCAGAWAGAATAACAGAATCATAAGTTCTATATCATCTAAAATTCAATTTTTAGTTTTTAAAATTCAATAGCAGTTATCACAGTTGAGCCTGATCATACGAGTGAGGCTATCGGGTCAATACAATGCTTGTTCTTTCATTTGCATGCATCCATGATTTACTATCGTCTCTCTTGCAGAAAGAAAGTTGAAAGATTCACTTGAATGTTTACCTGATATTCTTCCAGTGTTGCGACTAAAAGAAATGAGACAAAAAAAAGGTGAGATAAATTCAACAGAAAAGCAATTGGAACTAGTCTTGAACACAAGGACCGCGAAGCTAAGCATTTAAAATTTTGCCGCCATGTCTGTTTTATATTCGTTAAHTTTCTATTTCATATAAAATTCAGTATTTGGAAAAGATTTAAAAAACATTAGACMCCCTAATCGAAAACTCGAAYTGCCGTTCCTGGAACAGCGCTAGCTTTCGAAATATTTCAATCAACACCGAGTGAGGATGGTTTTTTTTTGCTTCAGTGTCGACTCAAGTGCATCGTGTTCAAATCTGTAGACTTGAACTTGCAAACATTACTACAGAGAAGAAAAAAAACTATACTTTAATGAGTGTCTTACCTGAGTTAGGTTCGTGTCCTTTTTCTCTGAAAAAAACAAACAAACATAGTTTCAAATCGAGAATTTACTGGACGGAGAAAAAAATTTGAGTGGCAAAAATCTTGGACGAAAAAAGGTGCAAATTAATCTTTTCAGCTTTGGAGAAATATTTTCTCATTTCAGATACCATATATCAGTGTATAACATGGTATCGAAATGAAATAAATCTRTATGCTACTTTGCCTTTTCCTTTACCCTAAAAAAATTGCAGACTTACTTTCGTTTTCTTTTTCTGTACTTGGCTACAACCACACATAACACTCCAATGAGGCAAATAAATCCTAAAATACCCAGAACAGGTCCAAAAATGGCTGATGCGTTTCCTTTATCAGAAGCTTGTTCCTTCGCTTTCTGATATGCGTTGGTGTTTTGCTGAAGAAGAAGAAGAAGAAGAAGAAGAAGAAGAAGAAAGAAAGAAAGAAAAAAAATAAAAAAATTAGGGAATTAATGTTAAATGTTGACGAAGGAAAAAAACTTTTTGTCTGCCACCACTTTCTCTACAGGACATTTTTGGAATCATTAATAATTAGCATATGAATTTTTCCTGTTTTTGTCATTTGTATTTTATAAAAGAAATACAAAACTTGCTTGCTGCGCTATGTGGAGTTATAAAGCACTTGGGGATTGACAGAACACTCGAGAAGTGTCCAGAAGCACTCCGCTACGCGTCGTCCTTCTCCTAATGACTTCTCTCGTGTTCTGCCAACCCCAGCGTGATTTTTAACTGCACAGAGCACACGCGCGCGTTTTCTATTTCTTCTTTCGCACATCTTTTTCAAACAAATAAATAAAATCGGTTAATCGGACAGCACATATGGAATTGGAATTTAGCATTTTCCTTGTGTACGTTTTGTGAAAGCCGTAAGGAAAACTGACACAATCCAAGCTATACTATAAACCATTCGCAATAGACCATTTTACGGATCCCGTTACTCAACCTCAGCCTCGTCAGCGTGTAATTATTCTTTAGAAATTGCYTACAATCTGTGAAATTTTTAAGTGTTTCAATTGTTCTTGATGTGTAAATTCCTTTCATTACTGCGGACTGTAGTCAAATTCTAAAGAATAATTGCACGCTGACGAGGCTGAGGTTGAGTAACGGGATCCGTGAGATGGCCTATTCTTTGTTTCGTGTACGTTCCTAGAGGTATTCCAAATATTGAAAATTGCTTATATAGATAACACGAGAATTCAGCAATTCCTTCGCATTTGTAAGGTTGTTTACTTACGTCCGGCAATTGTGTACTTTCTTGGTTCCTAGTTGTAGGCGGGATTTCTGTTGTCATGGGAAATCCTTCAGTCGTTGGTGGGCTTTCAGCTGTTGTCGTAGGGCTTTGAGTTGTTGTTGGTGTAGTTGGTGGAGGTCTCACTGTTGAAATCCTAGATGTATCGTCTGAAATTTAAAGTTAATGGTATTATTTGTCATCCAAGGCAAAAAACCTTTTCTAACGTTTTCTTATGCTGTCTCAAATTTAACGTTTACTTATTCATGATCATGCAAGGTGAATCATAGTTGTATCTATTTTTCTAGAGACACTGCTGATCACTCTCGACGCCAGAGTCTTGTTTTAGTTTTTACCACACATGTTCGACAAAATGTAAAAGAATGAAAGGCTTGATGATGATATACTTACATGTGTGCTGGCCGCTGATTTTGGCCAGAGCACATCCCTGGATGTCCCCTTCACACTTAAAAAAGAACCTGATAAGCAGCCCGGCGTAGTCGGTTTTTAGTTTTCCAGTCCACTGAAAATAAATTGAAAACTCTTGATCTTAATGTTCCATTCAATAAGAATCATAACAACACTATTTTACGCCTAATATTCCTAAGATTACATATACCGGGTCTTTAAGTGGTGTGGCACACTTTATTGTATTCTGAATTAGTTTCAGGTGCTTTGCCAGAAAGAAAGAGCCCGTATTCTTTTCTCGTGCTCTACAGCCCAGCAGCGTAGTTATATTAGGGARCTTAAGATCTACTAATGAAGTGAGTAGTCCAATGCCGGGATATAACACGAGCATGTTTTCAAAACGGTGTTTCATGCGCGCCGCGTCGTTGTTCTTGCCGTCATCTTTTTCTAGGACCACAAGTTTATTAGCATAGTTTTTGCTATTTAGTGCCACCCTCGTTAAATAAAGGATTTATTATTATTATTATTATTATTATTATTATTATTATTATTATTTTCGCGTAACTTGATTTTCTTAAAGTACCTTCAGAGCCTTAATAACACGTTGGTCTCGAAAGGGTCCACCCTTGATATAATCTTCAACTGTAAAAATATTTCCCTCTCCTTCTTTCCATTCTCCAAAAGCATCGCGGTACTCCCAACTGACTTGTACTCTAGTGTTACAAGGTATTAATGTTCTGTGATCTTCTGTGTCGGCGAAAGAAACTTTCTGTACCATTTCTTCGGTCAGCGGATGTGCTAGTAGAGGCTCGGATGGCTTTCGTATGGAGTATTTACATTCTAAAGGAAAAAGATAAACTGATTAAAACGGTGTTTATCGCTCTCTTTACCGATGTCAGTACGACAGTAGCGCAAACTCATTGGCGACTGCATGGAATCGAAACTCGGAGCGCAGCGCCCGTGTGAGACGGATACCTAGCTCCCCAATTGCTCTATTTTACTATGAAGTCACTGCTTGTTTATGTGGGAGATAGAATCGCCAAATCCAATAGAAAATTCAACAAAATTTACCCTTAGCGAAACAGTTTAATCTAAAATGGTCTGGTTTTCAGATACAATATGTGTTTACTAAAAAATATTCTGAGCTATTCTACTTCTCTTCGTGGATTGATACGGGTTTTAGAACAATTTTCGGTGAATTTGCGTTGATTTGACCCCCTCCGACGACCACGATCCTTTGCGTTTAAAGTGCTTATAAGCCTTTACACAATATTTTCAGAATTGATTCCTTAGATAGTGGATAGTTAATTGTGAAAATATTTCGTCATTTGAACGTCGGGTCTTTAAGATACAAAGGTTTATATGACCAATATGTTAATGACTATGACGTAGCATAAGGTATCATTTAATATACAACACTGCACTCGTTCTGGAATACAGTATTTTAAAAGCATCACCCTTTTACTCGTGACTCACGTAAAGGTTCTTACAAATTTGTTTTCAAAAAATGTCCAGCGTTCAATATTAAAAGTTGCCACAAAATAACTCAAATCTCTTATGTTACATCATAGTCATTAACATATTAGAAATATAAACCTTCGTATTTCAAAGACCCAACATTAAAATGATGAATTATTTTCACAATCAACTATTCACTATTTAAAGAATCAATTTCAAAAATATCGTGTAAAGGCTTATAAGCACTTTAAACAATAGATTGTTTTGATGTGACGTCAAAGTGAAATAGGGCAATTATAACCAAAGCTTAGTCTTATTTTATAACACTAGAAAAAATATCTTTTTTAGCTGAAGGGTATGGGGATGATTGAGTTGAAACCTAATCCGGAGACAAAGCTAAAATTAGTACTGAGGCCTACGACTGAGTTAGGCGGGGGCAAAACAAAAGAATGAGGAAAAAGTATTAATAAATGTTCTTACTGATATTTGACCTACCAGGGGGTTGCATTGAGTAAATATAACGAACACGAACAAAATAACTGTAGTATGTTGGCAATTTAAATTAATGTACTTACAGAACATTTATATTTTGATTTTTCTTTTATTATCAGATTAATAGTACCTTTCAACTCCGATACGATAACTAACGGTTAAACTTTTCTGCAATAATAACCCGATTAAATGCTATTTCGTGACGACGCCCGCGTAAGTTACAAAACTAAAAACAAAATTGAAAATGTTTATCAGAACACTTCAAGCAGTGTTCACTTTTTAATCTGATAACAACTGGAAAATCTATATATATCATTTTTTTGGTTAAACAATTAGAGTGTTTAAATAGGAAGTCTTTCATAACTTTAGGATTATCTTACTTGTTGAGTTCAACTGGTTAAGTTCGTCTCTCGAGACACAAATCCACTTGTTGACAATGTAGTTTGCATTGTTATTAGGACACTGACATTTACAGCATTCTCCAGTGTAACAATGTGTTCCTTGCTCCGCACAGTAGCTCGAATGACATCCAGGGTTACTGAAAGCATCAGCACTCGAAGGGTTGCCAGGATGGCGAATAACTACAACTCTGTTTAGAACACTGTTCGATAAAACAAAAGGGCACGAGAGAAGACATAAAATTGCTCCATAAACTAAAATTGACATTTTGGGAATAGAATGTTTTCAAAAAAAATTGAAAAAGATGCTCTTGATTTGAAAATTGTTTTTGTTCCCTGTCTCTGTTGACTTCAGCTTTTACTTTGAGCTGTTGACGTAGTTTTTTCTGTACTTATATTCATCGAACCAAATAATGTACGTTGTCACTATTTAAAGCCACTGTTGCGTCAATGATGACATTAGTATTGTTCAATATAAGTGCTTAAAATATTGGCACAAGAACCACTTTACATGATTCTTCAAGTAAAAATACTGAAATAGGCATAGATTAGCTGCATATCTTAAATCGAAGTGACTTTTGTCAGTATGGTTTGTACTTTGATTCTAACTTATATTAATGATCCGATCCGAACTCAAGTAAAGACATAACATCTTCGTCTTTTTTTTTTTACTGTCAAATTCAATAGCGTGATGGAATTTCTTGCGTATTACACTATTTTTGAAAAAGGAATTTCTTATTTCCTTCCTCGAAAAAATATAAGCTTATTGTCCAGACGTAGCGTTTTCGAATAATTTTCGGCTGTTAACACGCATCCATTTTCTTAAAGTTGTATATTCACCGGTAAACTAGAAAAAAATCTAAGGTTATTGAACTAGTTGTTATATGCTCTTTCGCTTTCGTTATGTTAATTTTGTCCTCTTGCAAAACATTCGTCTTAAATATACCATAAAATACCATTTCTAAAATGTGTGGGCTTAGCCTCGAATACAGGAGTTGGAAGTTTTGTTATTCTAATTTCTGCTCTTGCTTCCTGTTTTAAAAGTGAGGCTTAGTTAAAAAAATATATCCATATACTCGTAGATAGGTTCTGAGTAATTTTGCCGGATAAGTGTATTATAAATCAAGCAGAACAGACCAATAATTATCATTCTAGGAAGAGCAGTGCATGTTAAAACTAGTAAATCTGTGAAATATGAAGGAAGCAAGCTCAAAAACAGCTAAGATATGGATTTTCGAAGATCAAAAATTTTWAAATGAAAGCCTTGTTGTATTTATTGGGTCTTTTGCTTACAGAATTAATATTCACACTTTTCAAAATTCATATAGTTCGTGAGTTTCTGAATTATTTCCTTCAAACAACACTGTGTTAGKGATTTCAACATGCTCTTTCCAGCTATGGTTATTTTTATTCTGTTTAACGGATTTAAGAATACCAAATAAAACGGTTCATTTTCACAAACACGCTAAGCGCAGGCTAAAACACGACAGCTCAGAACCCCTAACTATTTCTTTGGGTAAAAGTGACATCTGTCACAAAACTAAGCTTTCTATTGGTCAATTGGATGACCGTTAAATTCCTATGGTTTTCACATAAGCCCTGATTGGTTTATAACTTTTTGGTTCAGTGTTTCCCTCTATATTTTAAAAGACRATTGATGACCATAAAAGGCGATTTTAGATCAACTATCTGATGATTTTGCAACCATATCACTGATATCAGATCCCGTGAGATCTCACCCCTTTGCGGCGAAACCCGTGAAGAACGCAAACATGGAAAGCAGTCAAAAAGAAGCCATATTTTATTGAAAAATTTATCAACTCGCCCCTCTTTTTACAGAACTAACTCTAGGAAACGACCAATTAATTGCCTAGCATTTTTTTCTATGAGTGCTAGTATCAAGGCCTATAATACACTCAACAAAATTACTCGATTCTGATAGGACAAGAGGAGTACAATTAAATCCCTAACTGTACTCTGTAGAGTACTTTGTTGAGTGTATTATAAAGAAAAAATCSCACTATCTACTCGTRATGTTTTGAAAGTTCTCAAATTGGACTCTCCCAAAGAGTCGTCCAACTTTGAAAACTTTGAAAACCATAATCGTGCCTAYAAATTCCGAACTGTACTCCAGATCGTGYGATTTCCTATGCTAAGAAATGAATAAATAAATAAATWAAAAAAAAMCCCAACAACTTTATGTTAAGATTTAGAAATGAGTAATGCTATTGGGCTACATGTATATGGCACGTTTCTCCCAACCTGATTTAAACTAAGCATTTTCTTTCTTTTAGTAACAGTTAAAAAGTTAGAGCTTTTTTCATGCAATTTCCAGGTGCCCGATGCTTCTTCTTTTTAAAATCAATCGAACTAATAGCCTTGTCTGACGGATACACCTTCTACTAACCACCGCTCATCCATAACTCATCGTAAAACGCCTTTGATCACATTGGTTTGGGAAAGATTGCTATATAAAATCATAAAACAGAATCGTAATGAATTGCGGTTTCTTTCTTGCTTCTTGAGTCATAAGAAACAGACCTTCTATCACCCAGGGTACATTACACTGCTTAGTATCTACAACGCGGTATCTTCACCAAGCTCGGACTGGCTGTCATAATCATCCTTCTTTCTTGGTGGAATATCGTAGTGTTGGCTGTTTTCCAGCCCATCTCTCACAGGGGGATTATCGYGGTCCCCTGTACTATCCATGTTGTCTTCGACCGGGGAATTGTAATTGCTCCCAGTACGTCGCTTGCCACCTCTGATTGGCGGGTTGTCGTAGTCACTGTTGCTTTGCATCCCAAATGGTGGATTATCGTAATCTTAAGACAAAAAAAAAACAAAAACAAAAACAAAACCTTAAAGTCATGCAAAAAAATACGATCCCACCCCCCTCAGCAAGGCTTGTAGCTCCTTCCAAAAATTGTGCATCCCCCCATTTTTCTGATAAAA